GTGGGATCTCCACAGGATGCAGCTTCCTTCAGAGCACAACCACCTGCTGCCAGGGGGCCTCTGCTCAGGCTGCAGTGTGGGTATCTGCTGCAGTGCGGTCCTCCAGGGCTTGCAGGGTCACAGTCTACAGCAGCTTGGACTTCTCCAGGAAGAGCACAGGAATATCTGCTCTGGTGCCTGGAGCTTCTTGTTCCCATCCTTCTTCACTGACCTGCCTGTCTGCAAGGCTGTTTCTCTCATATATTCTCCTCTCTGTCCTCTCTCTCACAGCTGCTGTGCCCTGGTCTTTCTCCTTCCTGAAATGAGTTGTCACAGACCTGTCACCAGCATCACTGGTGGTCAGAGCCTTGGCCAATGCTGGGTCCCTTTTGGGCGTAACTGGGACTGGTTCAGTGTGACACAGAGGCAACTCCTGGTCCCTTCTCACACAAACCACCCCTGCAGCCTCCCCACTACCAAAACCATGCCCATAAACCTCACTGACATCTCACAGATGTTTGCTGCTTATCTCGTGGCAAGAGGCTCAGGCTCAACAGTGAATGAGGCTTTGAGTTGCCTGATCTACAGGAAAGTGTCCCTGCCTATGGCAGGGATTTGGAACTGGATGGTCTTTAAGGCGCCTTTCAACCCAAAGCATTTTGTGATTCTGTGATTCTGTGATTCTATGAATGAGCTTAAAGGAGCTGAATTCAAAGAGCTGAATGTAACGAGTTGAATTTATAGAGCAGCTACACAGTTTTCTTTTACTAAAAGACAAGTGCTCTGTATTCACTGACTTTTTTCTTTTGGAAGTGTCTGTCACTAGCATGTTACAGAGCAGTTCCTGTCAAAAAAACAAACACCCTTTTTCTATTCCATCAAGGTGAAAACTTCTAACAGTGGATGAGAAAGTAACTGCTTTTCAAAAGATTTTCATGCCCAAAACTGTTTAAGTATGACAACTACAAACACTGTGATACAGGTATACTTGCAAAAATTTGGAAGTATAATGTTCTAATCGATTTTAAAAACTTCCAAAGGAAGAGCTTCTGTGAGTTTTGAACCCATTTGTTAAAAATAAAAACCAGAACAATATTTGGTTGGTTTTAAGTCTTGACACCAGGCAATTTGGATATTTATAGCTGAATTTCAACAAAGAATTTTGCAGCTATGGTAGTGGGAAAGCCATTCAGAGCAAGTATAAAAAGAAACTGAATGTAGAGCCAGACCTTTGAATCACTGTGTCACAAAGTGAGAAACCCAGAGTCTAAGAAAGTAATGAAACATATCAGATCACATTGCTTTCACTAAAAGTAATTCTTAATAATATTTTTAATGAGAACAGAAAAAGAGTTTGTACCAATACTAAAATAAATAAATTTTTAAAATACTGTTTATTTCATCTTGAATTATTTCATTCTTTATTTTGATGTGTTTTATCGTGATCTATATCTGTACATAACATGCACATAGCACATACAATGGTATATATATGAAATATAAAAACAAATATTCATATATCTGAGTTATAATGCTCACAAAGTTTTACTCCTACAGGTGTGTAATCAAAAAGGTTTGATCACTGCCCTAGGCAGTCATAGATTACATTGGGAAATGCAGACCACCCAAAGAAAAATCCTTGACAATGTCTAAAAATTTCTTATTTGATCACTTCCTTCAGCTTCTTACTGTACTACTGACAGCTACTTGTGTCACTGCATTTATAAGAGCCTTTTTGTCTCTTTCCCTCTGTGTTCCAGGCTACAGAAAAGAATGTGAGTCTCAAAATTTTTCAATAAACCCAAGCCTCTCCACTCACCTTTTTCTTTTCAGATGTGGAAAGTGTTTGAATTCAGTTCGTTTAGCAAGCATAGCAGAATTTTAAAGGCATGCATGATCTATATGGGAGAAAAACTGACTTGATTAATAGTTGTGCCATTGCTCCTGTATGTAATATTGTATATTGCCAGATCTTAAATTCTTAAGGCACTTCCTGCATTTTTACAGGAGGCATGTGAAAAATAGGCAAGCAAAGTACTCTGGTAAAATTGTTTTCCTTTTCTCTGTGTTTATATTCCTACAGATTATTCTTGTCCTCTTTTGGGACACTCCAAGAAAGCACTCAGTGATAAGCATAAGGCTTAAAAATATCCATACACAAAAAGTGTGAAAATCTTCTTTGCAGCAACAATATGAATACACCTGATGAAGCAAAGGAGCTACCCTTAGATAAGAAGATGCTATGGCAAGTATTTCTCATATACTTGGAAGACATAACAGTGCAAGACAAGGAGAGATTAAGGCATCAGATAGAAAAAGCAAATCTAGACATGTAAAGTAGGACATCAGACACTGGAGAGCAAACCAACATTTGTAAACACTGCAGTATACAGGCCCATTATCTTTCCAGTGCAAATCCCTTCACTATTGCAATGCAAAGCCTTTCACCAAATGAAAACGATGTAACTGAATCTTGACCCAATTTGCATGCTCAGACAAATCAGCTGAGACATCAACCTCCAAAACAACATGTAAAATAGCAGA